CTCAGCTCAGGCCTGGCATACAGGCCTGGGGTGAAACCCTGCAGCTGCAATCCCTGCAGAGAGTGTAGAGGAAAGCAACAGCCTTCAGACTTTAGGTAAATGAATACTTAACCCTTGCATTTTATTCCTTCTTGCTTCTTAAGCTTTATGCTTGAAGACTAACTGGTGTGCATTAGAGTCTCTCAATTTAATCTTACCTGACTTTCTGAATCAGAATGGATGGGACAGCATGAATCTGCATTAAAACGTGATATTTTTCTTATGTGGGTCCTAAAAAACAGGATTAACATCCTTACAAATAATATTTTTTCCTCAAAATGTATTAGTAAGTAGTCATTTTGTTTCTAGCAAAAGTAGGGGAAAAAAGCTTACTGACCATATAAAAAATGGACAGAACATTACAAAGACTAGACTGTTAAATCCTTTCTTTTTTTTGTTTTGACTGTTAAATCCTAAATCATTGACCTGGGTGGACAGGAAAAGCTACTCCACTAATCCTGTGAAAGTACAAGGCCCACTTAGTTTGCTGGAGTAAGCAAAATATAGTCCAGCCCTCTCAAGCATTTCCTGCAGTTTAAGTACTTACCCTTTCTTTCCATTTGTTAATTTAGCAGATCCAGGGTGCCTTCCTGAAGACAATACCTGTGACATAATGTATTACATTACAATATACATAACACTTTTCTACTCTATTTTCAATATGTCATAACAAAACCTGAAATGTCATTCGTGTTTTTTGTCTTTTCAAACTCAAGGTCTGAAAGTAAAGTTCCCATCCCCATTCCCTCTTGCCTGTTACTTTCTATAAATTTGAGTACGCTAGGGACTTCATACAAGTTAATAATATAGTACCTTTTTGTTGGTTAGCTTATTTCATTTAGCTTACTTTGAACTTCATGCATATTATACAAATGAATTAAAATATTCCTTTGTAAGGCTGAATAATTTCTGTTGTATGTATGTGGTACATTATTCACTTTTAAATAAATTAGATACAGCCTTAAACATCCCCCCCACACACACCTAGAAATCAAACCCAGAATTTCTCATGTAGCAAGCAAGTGGTCTCTCTACCTCTGAGCTACATATCCAGCAGCCTGTAATTTAACTCATGTAGAATAAATTTGTTTTTTATAAAATATGAGCAAGTAACACATTTTTGTTCCTTACATCTATTTAGGTTCAAAAGAAAATTGTGATACCATTTCAAGGCTAGTATAACTAAGTTTCAACTATATTGAACTCTAAACATGTTGTACATTTTCCAAATTCTTCGAAACATACAGGAAAATTCAAGTCATAAGATTTTATAACTGTTTCATTTATCCAAGGCGTGACAAGACCAGCACAGTAAAAAAAAATCTATTCTTAATCTACATCTCTTTTTTTCAGTCTTTCTAGACTTGAAACTCAGACAGCAATGCTTTTAGAAGAGTTTTCATTCTAAAAGTAAAATAAATGGGCTATCTTTTATGTAAGAAAGGAAAAAATATGCATTTGCTTTTACATTCATCTAATAACTTGGGAGTTATACAAGAAACTATAGAAACTATATTTGCCTTGGGAGGAAAACTGAGTGGGAGATAGGATAGGAAGAGAAAATTTCTATGTGTACTTTTTTTTATCTTTAATGATTCAGTATCAGATAAATGTAATCTCCATTCAATATATATATATATATATATATATATATATATTTTTTTTTTTTTTTTTTTTTTTTTTTTGTGGTATTGGAGATTGAACTCAGGACCCTGCACTTACCAGGTAGGTGCTTATTCTACTGAGTTATCAAGTTATCTCCCCAACCCTCTATTAAGAATATGATTTTAAGAGACCAAAACCGCTAATCTTCCCCTCATTCCACACCTTCAAGATGTAGTCACTGTTGGCAGTTTTGTGGTTTATCTTGATGTTTTCAAAGTTCATCCCAAGAAAGAATTTAACAGTTAACTACCAAATTTCCTGAAGTTATATAGTATTGTATATAATATTGTATTAATTGCTTAAATATGTACTTCTGCTCTAATAATGCTACTGAGACTATGTTTTTAAAACTGTGTTACTAAGAATTCTATTTTGTTAGATATCCCAGAATCTGATGGAGGATCAAAAAGGCAGTCATGGTGAGAATCCTACCAATTAACTGCTAATTTCAAATCCTTAAGTTTTTGTTTAATCCTTCAGTTCTCGCTTTCCTTTTAAGTGTGTCATACCTTTCTATTTTTATTTCTTCTTTTGAGTTCTTACACTAGGGAGATTATACAATATTTACACATGTGGGTCTGGTTTATTTCACTTATCAGTATATCTTCAAGTGACATCCACTTAAATATAAAGGCTTTGAGTTCATCATTCTAGTGTGCCTAAGAAGAGTCACATGGAGAGAAAACATTCTCCGAAGCTTTCACAGACAGCAAATTGGTCAAGCAATGGCTGTGACTCATCCACATAGCTGACACTGACAAAGGATCTATAAATTGGTGTACAGGGTTTCAGGCTAAATCTTGAGGGGATTTGACTGACCTTGTCAGATACAGAAGTTTTATTTCTTGTCATATAGGTCTTGCTTTATATTTGTCTTAGCCATCCAGCAGAAAAGTATAAAAACGAGGTATGAAAAGTAAAGCCATATTAATATGCTGAGCTGTAAAAGGCTCAAGTCAACAATTTCTGACATTGCCAGTCCTACAGATAACCCACTACTATTATGGACTACTGGACTATATTAGATTATTTTGCTGAATTCATGCACCTACAATATTTAAATGGCAATGGAATACTCATCTCTGACAAAACTAAACAAAAAAGAGGGATATAAATGAAGGACCATTTTGTATCTGTATATACAAAATAGGATAGATATATAGCTACTTTCTCTTAATTCAATAAGAAAGATTTGTACTAATAGTGTTTGGACAGGATATCTTGTCTGCATCTTGTACTATGAATAACTACTACAAAGACAACAATATGCAATGTATTAATTATTGTAACTGTCCTATTAACCTGTTTTGAAACTGTCTCATTGCTGTTTCTCAATAAATTTAAAAAAAATTAAAAATAATAAAAGCCAGTCATGAGAATCAGCATCACTTGAAATAAGATGCTGTGTAATATAGCTCCACTGGTCTCTGCAAAACATTCTCTTCTTTTGTTGTATCCATGTTGGTGTCCTGGCTGGAATCGTATTAAAAACCTAAATCATAGTGTTATACATGCCAGATCAAATCCAAAATCAACTACAAATCTTCTGCCTTTCAAAATTAAGAAACAATTTGCACTGTTTGAGATGTATTGTATAACTGTAAGATTCTCTGCACATTTCATATAGATATAGAGATTCATAAAGAAGAGTGCTACACTATAGAAAACCTGACAAGGTAATTACCTTTAATAAAAGCACCCTGAAAAACAACAACTATCATAATGGAATATTTCCTACCAATTTAAAAACTATTTTATTGTAAAATAATAGTACAGAGAAACCCCATATGTTCCAGCTAGAATAACTTTTGACATTTTATATTTGTTATGTTTTCTATGTCCACACATTTTTTGCATGAATCATTTCAAAGTATGTTGCTGACTTAATATCCTAAATGGACTTAAGAATAAGGCCATTCCCTAATATTAAAAAAAATCAAAAAATTAACCATGATGTAGTATGTATTGTAATTTACAGAACTTATTCACATTTTACCAGTTATACCAATACTGTTCTTCCTAGAAAAAAAACTGGCCCATGTCTAGTCCAGTATCACATACTGCATGAAGATATTACAGCTCTTAAATCTCCTTTAATTTGGAATAATTCCTTCAGCTGTTGCTCATTGTCTTTTATAACCTTGATATAAACGGTAAAAGCCAGTTACTTTGTAGAATGTTTAAAAGACATCTCTTAGACATCTGATGATTTCTTATGTGCAGATTATGCATTCTTATCAGGAACACAAAAAAATCATGTTAGCCTCAATACAGCATGTGTAGACACATGACATTGTCTTATTACTGTTGATGTGGACTAATTATTTAAGACGATGCCTGACAAGTTCTTCACTGTAGGGTTACTATTTTTATCTTTGTAGTTATTAAAAGTGTTTTTTTTTTTTTGGGGGGGGGAGACTCTTAAGACACTATGCAGATATCCTAATCACAAAACTTTCAGTTATTTTAACACCCATTGATGATAAACAAACATCTCCAGCGTGAGAATGGAGATGTCAGTGACAGGCAGGTTCCCAGATGGCCCTCGAGCTCAGGATCAGGAGGTGAATGTCAGGATGTCAGGCCTCCAAAGGCTTCTAGGAGGACCTGGACGCCTTCCTTCAGGAAGCAGGGGAGGCACCGAGCACGTAGCGTTACAGGGCAAATGAGTAGGTGGTGCTGAGAAGGGCTGCACTGGAGGAAGGAGCAGAACAGGCTAAAAAAATGGTGTGCGCTTGCCTGGCCAAAGAATTTACCTTGCAAGAGAAGAGAGCTTATAATAGATTTTAAGCATAACCACGTTGCTACATCGAAAAGGGTACAACTGAGGAGTTGTACTAAAGAGACGGTTGGGGCCGGGGAGATGGTTCAATAGAATAAGCGCTTCCCTGGTAAGTGCCTGAGTTCAATCCCCGGTTCCGCAAAAAAAAAAAAAAAAAAGAGAGAGAGAGAGACGGTAACTGGAAGACTTAGAAGACACTAGCAATGGGATTGGCAACATTGGCTGTAAAACTGAGAAGCTGGGTCTGACGCGAGGAGGTACTGAAGCGAGGAGAGGTGAAGTCACTCAGCAAACGGCGAGGGCGGGGGCTCCAAAGGGCCCGACACCGAAGCCAGACCCGGATCAGGACAACCCCAACAAAATGGTCCTTTAGGGAGGCCGGGCTGAGGACTCTGAGACACTCCGCTGTCCCCTTCCAATGCAGCCGCCTCGTCTTTATCTTTAGTTTATTCTCCCGGCCTAAGAACCCCTATCATTTTCTCGCCCCCCACCACAATGGACCCCTTGGTCCGCAGCCCTCACCTGGCCCGGCCGAGATCCGGACCTGACCATCTCTGGCAGGCTTAGAGAAGCCCAGACGGAGGACAGCAAGACTGCACGGCAAAAGGAATTAACCGCCACTGGCTCCCAACCCGCCTTGGCCCGCCCCCCGAGCTTCCGCTTCCGGGAAGGCGCCCGCCGAACCTCGCGCCCCATGGCCTCTCAGCGCCGCCCGAGTCCCGGGCGTGCGCAACAGACCGATCCCGAGGGCTCGTCACACTCGGCGGCAAGGTGGGAGAAGCCGACAGAAAGCACGAGGGGCGGGGCCAGGCTGGTGGGGCGGGGCCAGGCTGGTGGGGCGGGGCCAGGCTGGTGGGGCGGGGCCAGGCTGGTGGGGGGAGGCTGGTAAGGGCGGGGCCAAGCTGATAAGGGCGGGGGCGGGGCCAGGCTGATAAAGGCGGGGGGCGGGGCCCAGGAACAGGGTCAGAGCGGGGCGAGTGCGTTTGTTTCTGTGGCCTTCTGGCAAGCAGCTTGGCCCTTCCAGCGTCTGGGGGAGCCGGGCCAGCCTGCGCAGGAGGAAGGACCTGAGTAGAGGTTGCAGAAGGCACTGGGCTGGGCTCTTGGGTTTTCGTTATTTTTAGTTCGCAGTTATGTCTGTTGTTTTGAATGGCTTTCTTCAAACGTCCGTACAGTAATCGTTATCTTCGCCTAATTCTGATGGCAATTGAAAAATTATTTGCTGTGGCCGCATCTCAAAACGGTGCTGGCTGCATATTCTCCTGTGAAGGTAATTACTGTTGATGAACAATGGCACGATATGCTTACCGTTGATAAACTGCACTAGTTGCGATAGGGATTAGTCATTGATTTTAAAGCATCGTGTTCAATGAGTTAATTTTCAAGTCAAATTGGGAAGAAGGTAACTCACTTCCTGTTTTTTTTTTTTTTTTTTAGGAGAAAAGCTTTAAAAAAAAAAATAAGTGTTACAATCAATACTAAATACCAGGGACTAAAATTTACCAATGTATTTTACACTGATATTGAGGGGTTTAGAACACAGTACTTGCTATGTTAGTTTTGGGTTAGATTAAGGTGGGAAACTTTCCTACCCCTCTCACAAGTATTTAGCACATTCGCCTCAGATTTTAAGTGATGCTCTTAGTTAACCTGATATTTTTGAAGACATTGATTTTTCTAAGTACTTTTTTTTTTTTAGAAAATATAGATAAGTAAAAAAGTAACTTATATCAATAGTACAACAGCATACATATCATCGTAATGTGTTTTAATGGCTCATCATCATTTTCTCATTAATGTAATTATAAAACCGCTGTGGTATTTCAGTCTCCATTCCTCTACTGTTTGTAATTTTATGCTCCACCTTGTCTTATTTGCTATTATAAATGATGCAATGAGCTGCAATCTGAAAGAGGGGAGAGAAGAGTATTTAAGACATAGGGGGGACGGCACGATGGAAAAAAGGACCAGGAGAGGCCCTGTGGCGCAGTTTAGACAATGGGAATGGAAATATGTACCCCAGGCAGACGCTGAGTCCTTGCAGATTACGGATTTAGGTCATTGTCCTAAAGGAATGAGGATGCCAAAGGCTGCGACAACAGGCATGCAGCAGAAAGCATCGAGCAGCAGTTACCATTCTGCAGCTGCCAGCCAGATCCAGTCTGCTGCCATTTTGTTGTTGCTCAACATGTGAAGGTGTTTTGTTCTGTTTTGCTTTACGCTTTTAGTTTTAAGTCAAAAGGACAATATTTAATCATGTGAAAATTGCAAATGTCATAGTTTTATTGGAGCCAAGTAGATTTTTAATCCTGATAAACCCTATCCCTAAATCCCAAAAGTTGAAATCTTGAAAGGTGAAATTCTGAAAACAGCAGTTCCCATTTGGAGGAGGAAGAAAATTGTTAGTAGTTTTTTTTTGTTTTTTGTTTTTTGGTTTTTTTTTTGTTTTTTGTTTTTTTTTTTAGCAGTGCAGTAAAGAGATAGGAAAGATAAAAGAAACCTTTATTAACTCCAAAGATGTGGAGAGAATCAAGGGCAGATGGGAAAATCCTCTGACCTGAGACAAAGAAAGCTGAAGCTTTTAAGGACTTCTGCTAGGGGTGGAGTTGGAGGGGCAGTTTCAATTACATGCAAGGAGCTGATTGGGGTCTCACCTGCGTGGGAGAGAGAGATGAGAGGAAATTGTAGCCAGGGCTGGGGTGGGGGAGGAGGAGGAAGTGGTCACTGGGAAGATAAGCTGTTGTTTCAAGGGCTTCAGCCACGTTAGATGACCACCGTAATAATTTAGCAGTTTCTTTGATCCCTGGGCCTGTGGTACCAGCCCCGCCCCCAGGGCTTGCTGAGGCAGCAATTGAGACTGGGTGTGGTGGCCCTCCCCTGTAATCCCAGCTCTTCTGAGGCTGTAAATAGGCGAATCACTATAAGTCTGCTCTAGTAGTGAGACCCTTAACACCCTGTAGACCCTTCCCTAAAATACAAAAATAAAAATAATAAAATAACTTAGCAGTTTTTGCTTGGGCCAGAACCATCAAAACCACTAGTTAAGATAGCCAAATTCTGAGCACTATATTAGTGAATTGAGGGTTATATTTTGGGGTATATGTGAGGGTGTTTCCAGAAATTAATGTGTGAGTCTAAGTGGATGAGGTGTCTACTCTGAATGTGAACAGGCATATATATTACAAAATAATCATACTCACTTGTTTCTGTATTCCACAGCTGCTTTGGTGCCACAACTGCAGAATGTAGTTGCCACGGAAACCCTATGGTCCAAAAGCCTATTTCCTATCTGGATCTTTATAGTGTAGATGTAGAGGATGTTTGGGGGAAAGACAAACGTGGATGTAAGTTTTCCCCTCCCTGGTTCAGTCTCAGCCCTTCTCCTTAAGGGTCCCAGTGACTAACCTTTAGGAATGACATCACTCATACTTGCTCTTTAGCTTCTGGAGGTGACCAACCAGCAGAAGATGGGGAACAGACGGAGGAGGAGGAGGAGGGGGAGGGGGAGGAGGAGGGGGGGAAGAGGAGGAGGGGGGGGGGGGGAGGAGGAGGAGGAGAAAAATTGGTTTATTCCATCCCAGCACCATCTGAGTGATACCATTGACCCTGTAACTAAAGTCTTCCCAGGAGTCCCTGGGGTTCAACTTCTCTCCAGACTCCAATAAAACATTTCCTGCCTTTGTTCCTTCCACTTTAGGGTATGATAATGGTTTGCTAGTCCCTGAATGTTCTAATACTCCTTGGTGATTTCCTTGTCCACAGCTCTGTAAAACTTCTTTTAATTATCTTTACAATCTCAGCCAGCATCCTGTTTCCTGCCAGGACCAGACTGATAAGAAATCTGGATGCAATATAAAAGCATTAGAAGCCAGAGGGAAGAGGGTGGGAGAGGTAATGATGTAAGTTCTCCCTTCCCCCATGAGTCTCAGCCCTTCTTGTCTCAGTGACTGGCCTTCAAGGATGACTCCACTTATACTTGCTCTGGAGACATAGGAGGTGCAGGAGAAAGGGGTTGGTGATAGACTTAGGAAGTCAGGTGAGGTGTAGATATATACATTGCCCCCAGTTTGAGTTTTGTACCTGGAGATTTGTTGGGAGAGATCCAATTAAGTTTATGGACCCATTTCCTTCAACATTCTGTTATGAGATAATGCAAACTAAGAAGTTATTTGGGTCCTGTTGAACTAGGCAGTAAAGCAGGAGATTAGGATATGGCCAGGGAGGTGGACAAGTGAGCAGTGACCTGTCAAATCACAAAAATCCATGACACGTGCAGAAAAATGATTCTAAACCCTGCACCTGAGAACAATCAGAAACTGCTCCCTTCAATTTTTCTGAGATATCAAGCAAACCTAGATCAGACCCTCAATTGTAAACTCTTTCCATGGCTTGCCCTGAAGTACAGTCTGTTTTTCCTGCTTTTAATTGCCCACACTCTGCAGAGCATATTTCTTTTCCTACCTTTAATACCTTCATTAAATGTGAACCTGGCTACCTTTTGTGCTTGTCTTGACTGATTCCTTGTTCAGAACAAGAACCTAGAAAGCATCTCTAGGAGTCCATAACACTGCAGAAACCAGTAATAGGAGTATTGTGGAACCACTTGAGAGAAACTTTAGTCAACTACTGAGTTATTTGAATCTGGATCTTTGTGAGAGGGTGTGGGCTATAGTTCTGTTGTCTGTGGTAACTGATGCTGTAGGCCAGGATTTTGCCATCAGGTTTCTTCCTTAAGAAAGCTTTTGCTTCTATCTCTATAATTCTACAAACTAGACCAGTGGTGGCAAACCTATGACATGGGTGTTATTTTTCTTTTAAGACAAAAAATGTTAATGTATGAGTTGTTTCTCTAAACAGAACCCTTAGTATTCAGGTTTAGTTCCAGTGTTGTTGCTTTGCAATAAATAAGTGGGTTTTGAGTTGTAGTTGGGGCACTTGTCTCTAAAAGGTTCATCATCACTAAAATCTGCTGATGGTTTTATACTCTGATGGAATGGCACCATTTCTATGAATTATAATTGTGTGATTATGTGCTATCTGTCATCTCAAGTAGAATGTAATCTATGGAAGCAAGCACCTAACTTTGTTCAGGGTCATGTTGTCAATGCTAGCACAATGCCTTGCACATAATAGGAATTTTAAAATTATTTGATTGAATAAATGAAGCAAACATTGTTTGGTCTGCTGTGGTGCTTTGGTAATAGCTACTTGAGTGCCCAAAACTTGAAAGTATCTAGGACTGGCCCTGTGATCCTGATCTGGAGGTGAGGTTCCTCAAATATCTTGATCTGGTCAGTCTTTTATAATTCAACTCATTCAGGACTGGGGATGTAGCTCAGTAGAATAGGCACTTGCCTGGCAAATGCAAGGTCCTGAGTTCAATCCCTGGTACCGCAAAATAATAATAATAATAATAATTATTATTATTATTATTATAATTCAATGCATTAAACCAATAACTTTTCCAATTGGCTCATCTCTGAAGTGTGAAAGTCTCTATTCATGTTGGACCATGTTCTACTTCAGAGGAGACAACCAAATTGCAAATACATGAAGGGCAAACTAAAAACACAGAGTTATAGCCAAGATCAAAAAATAAGAGGCTGTGGATAATGCCACACATTAGGAGCATGAGCTCAGTTCTGCTTGGAAAGTGTTGAGACATTGTTCTATTGCCTTGCTCAAACTCATTTGGTGCC